GTTAATACAATATAATGGTGTTATGAGTACTACTCAATCAACACTCCTTTAACAATAAAGTAAAAAATAAAATTAGATAAAATAAACAAAAAGAAAATAAAAATGATAAGTGAGATAAACTAGAGAAAAATTGAAATGAAACTAATGCCATTGTGAAGATCTCGAATTACATTTGGTCAAGATGAGGTGGTTGTTGAGGAGTGTGGAAGATATTTAACCTCTCACACTCGCCTTGGTTGAAAAGCTCTCTAATTTTGTTCTTTCTTGCGTCTGCTATAATTTTTCCCTCTAAAAAATAGTCCTCCTTGTTGGTCCTCTTCATAAACCACTAAAAGAGCTACAAACGATAGTGTTACTACCAGTACGTAGCTACAACTAATTGGAGTTAAGGATCAAGGATTGAAGGATCTTTATAAGTAGACGAATATACATTTTCTAGTCAGTTCACCATACACGAAGTGTGGCTATTGTATTACGACTAAACTGGTGCATGAAGGTCTCGATCGTGTTCCATGGGTTATGGTGTAAGAAAGTTTTGGTAAGGCAATGCTAGGAACAGTGGGGCGCATGATCACTAGATGATGAACATACTTTGATAATGTTAGATTTCTTTGGTTCCATTGGTGAGGTTGAATATGAAAGAAAATAGATGAAGTATAATAGTTTGCAAGTTAGGAAATTTGGAGTGCAAAGGATTAGAGAGAAATTAATATGAGGATTATTAGAATAAGCGTAATTGCACATCCAATTTATATGGGTTGCGTGCAACGTGCCACACCATGTAAAAAGTATGTCGAGTTTGATATTGTAACAGTCACATAAGAGCTAGTATAACGACTAATTTATGTCGCACCTTTCTAAAACGCGTCATGTTTGAAAGTATAACCGCTAGAATGTGCTACACCATATAGCTTGCACACCGCAATTTTTCCAAGAGCAAAAAGGATGATAAAAGTTTTTAAATTTTTTTTTCACTCACACCCTAAGCCATTATTTCATTTCTCTTTGAGGAAATTTTTTACCTTTTATTAAAATCTAAAAATAAATAAAAATCATAATAAAATGGAAACTAAAAAATTAATGGGTTATGTCTCATCAAACACTCATTTAACGTTAATAACTTGATGTCTCATTGACCACAAAGATATTCAAAAGCCAAAGATATATTTTTACATTGAAACCCCCTAATGATAAGGTTTTAACCATGCTCATTTACATTGAAGTGACGCTCAATTCTTATAACTCTATTTCCTTATACAAAGATACAAATTTCACCATAAATAAACCAAATCGCTTAGACTTAAGTTTCTTCGGAAATAGTCTTAACCTAGAGTTAAATAATATGATATGATGTCTAACATAGAACTATCTTTTAAATAGGTTTTTATCATGGTACCTCTTGATTCTCACTTATAGATAATCACACTCTCATAAGCTTGCAGTCACGTCTCTTTCAACTCATTTAATTTTAATGTTTTTACTTAGTTATTGCAAATTAATCAAAATTTATATTTTTTATTATCAATATTCTATGTGATCTAAATCTACAAGAAGATGACATGCCATACTCCACACCAACTGACATGGAGACAATCCAAAAGGTATTACTTGAATGCGGTACAATATTGTTTGCAGTATTTTCAACAAAAGTATTTATATTATCGTTTTTCTCGGGGATTGGTGTGATATTAATGTTGTTCTATAGTTTGAGTGTCTGTAAGTGTTTGAATCATAAACAAAGTTTTAATGCTTGCTTTTAGTAACCAAAGATCAAGTTTCATGCACTAGATAGAGATTTGGATAATAGAGAGATTGTTGTTTGAAAATGTTTGTTTTGATAAAAAGGTGTCAAGATTAGTTTTCATTAACCTATTCCATATTTATTCGATTAACCTTGCATATGAACTAATCAATAATCAATACATTCACGTATCCTCTCAATAGTTCTCATATATAAGTAATATTGTGAGTGTTATCATATTAATCATTAAATGATCTCTCAGTCTAACTATTAACATGATAATCTTTAAAGCTTGATACAAGTGAATACTAAATCACAAATCTATGTCTAAATCTTGTTCATTAGTAGATGAATATCTTAGGTCAAGCTTGGAACTTACTTCTCAATAATGAACCAAACCATAAAAATAACAATGAAACAAAGATATTCAACATGTATTAATCTTCAATCAAGTTCATATACAAAATGATTAAAAAAAATACACTAAGTCTAAGTTGACTACTTCTAACATTGACACAAAAAGTGTTTAGCTACCCAATATCATGATACCTTGCTCAATGGATAAATAATAGATGTTGATGAACATCAATCTTCAAGTCTCCTTGATTCAAGATGCAAGAGTGTTCTTTTCTTTTTTTCTCTTTAAGAGATAAGAACAAAAATATACTTTCTATGTTGTAATCTTATGATCCACAGAACAAAAGGTTTGTATATCCAAAATCATATTTTTTTCCCTCCACAAGACAAAAGTTGGTGGAAAGTTTTCATAGAAGGTGGCAAAAAGTAGCCAAAAGTATGGCTTATCTGCGCTCCATCGCCGGACGACCATAAAAGCATCGCCGGGCGATTTTAGCTAGATGCGACACGTGACCAACTGGGCGTATTAAAACCCCAAAAGAGCATTTATCATCGCCCGTCGACAAGAATGCTTCGTCGGGCGATCCTCCTTTCGTCAGGTGCCCAAGAAGCGAAACAATACATAATTGAAACTTTTATTTTTCACCATTTTTGCCGGGCGACGCATCCTGTTCCCGGGTGATCCTTTGCAGCATCAACACTTTTGTTTCTTTTGCTTAGCAAGCCTAAATTCTCCATTTTTGCCATCTTTTCTGCACAAGTTTTGCTGAAACACTAACAAACAAATTAAACATTCACAATTCTTTAAACTCACGCAAAATGACTAAAAATAAATATTTAACCTAATCAAAAGTAAAATAAAAGATCTCAAAGTGTCAATAATTGATATGAATTTTATGCAAAAGTTGACACTTAACAAATATGCCTACAATGTATCGTCTAGCTTCTTTGACCAATATTTTCTTGACGAATTAACCTTCTTTTCTAGGATCTCCTTTGATTGTTTGTTGGATATTTTGAATTGCCTGCTCAGTTGTGGATGATAGAGAATTAACATTTTATGTTTCATATTGTACTTGGTCAATATATTCTTCAAATAGTTGTAGAAACGCCCCTCATCACTCTTTTAGCGTTGATCAAAACTCTAAGTACTCTGAACTAAAACAAAATATTTTCAAAGTGTTAACCACATTATGAGCATCATTAGCAACACAAAAAGTTAAGTCAACTCATTTAATAACATAATCAACATAAATTAAGATATGCAAATTAGAATAAGGAGGAAAATGTTTAACCTCCAAGATTCCATTAAGGAAAATTCCATTCCTCTTAGAAATACTACCAATTCGTTAGTATTGATCACAAGTTTTCACATACTAATTTCATTTCTTTAGAAATATTATCAGCTTGCTAGCATTGATCAAATTTTTCACATACTATACACTATCTTTGAATAAGGTTGGCCACCAAAAATCACTTTGTAGAATTTTTGTACTCGTTATTTCTCCGTTGTAGTGACCTCCGTAAGTTGAAATATGACATTGTCATATGATACTTATCATTTTTTTCTCATATACACATCTTTGGATTAAACCATTAGAGCATACCTTCAACAAATTCACATCATGGTATAATTTTTTTCTTTGTTTTCATGTAAGGCTTTCCGACTCCTGTTTTCAATTTTAAAGTTGGTCATATAAGCACACCATGGTTTTTCAGTAACCACAAATATTTTCTCATATCGAAATGCCTCCAATATTTTCTTCTCCTTATTTGTAACATCAAAATTCTCTAGTTTCGATAGATGATCAACTACCACATTTTCGACTCCCTTCTTATTTTTAATATGCGGGTCAACCTGTTGTAGAAACATAATCCATCTTAACGAATGTGGTTTTGACTCACTTTTATTCAGCAATTGTCTAGACGTTGTAAACACAACAACCTTATAACCAATTATATAAGAGAGAATGTTTTCCAATGCAAATATTATGGCGAGCAATTCCTTCTCGGTGGTGTAATTTATTTGATTTCCATTTTGTTGGTTGAGCACAACTCCAAGTGTGTAATCACTAACATCACATATCATTTAAAAATGTAGTTCTCAATTAGGGGCTATGATTACATGTAACTAACTTTTCTTTAAAATCAATCATCATCAAATTTAAAATCAATTTCTTTATAAATCCTTTATGAAAGGTCGATAAAAACTTTCATGTTTTAGAAAACTTCTCACTTTGATTCAATAGGAATGATCGATTAATGAGATAACTGTTGAAAGAATAATGAGATAAGTGACGAAAGAATTAAAGCAAATCAATTGTTAATGATTTTGTGCAATCATATAGGGATACTGTTATCCAAACAATTTGTGCGATTTTATGTAACATATGTATCACAATGTTGCAATTCAAGCACTTTGAAGTTGTACTTCAAACATCACATTAATGGTTCAAATTCGTGTAGAGAAATTGTGCTTTACTGAGTCTAATCTAGATTGATTTCATTAAAGTTTAACAATGGTAAAGACCATGAACTCAATGCTATCCAACATTCAACAGACAGAAAAAAACATCACATTTACTTGAAAGTGAATCGGGTTCATATATCTAAACATTACAAGAGAATAAATTAAAGAAAATAAGTAAAAAGAGAAATGAATTGTATACCATATTACATGGTCCCCATCACCACCGATTTCAGCTAGTTATCTAATTGAATTGAAGCCACCTATGCAGTAATGAGACATTGTGATTTTATGAGGTGTAACGCACAAGGTTTCTGTAGCCATGCAAGCATCTTCTTTGCGCTGACGTGTACCTCCTATACTCTCCTCTCTTTCGCTATAAATATCAATGCAAATTAAGGTTATCCGCATCACAAACATATAGTATATCCAACTATGTCTACTAAACTTCTTGCACTTTCTCTTTCATTCTGTTTTCTACTTTTGGGTGGCTGTTTTGCTCTCAGAGAACAGTCCCAACAAAATGAGTGTCAGCTAGAACGCCTCGATGCCCTTGAACCAGATAACCGTATAGAGTCAGAAGGTGGACTCATTGAGACTTGGAATCCAAACAACAGGCAATTCCGATGTGCAAGAGTGGCACTCTCTCGTGCTACCCTTCAACGCAATGCCCTTCGCAGACCTTACTATTCCAATGCTCCCCAAGAAATTTACATCCAACAAGGTTAGTTTGTTTGATATTATGATCACAGTTGCATTTTCGCAAACTTTTATGTTATAAAAATATGTGTATGACGCTGTCCAACTTTAATATTTACTAGTAATTAATGTCCCTCGATACCAATATTTACAGGTAATGGATATTTTGGCATGGTATTCCCTGGTTGTCCTGAGACCTTTGAGGAGCCACAACAATCTGAGCAAGGAGAAGGACGCAGGTACAGAGACAGCCACCAAAAGGTTAACAGATTCAGACAGGGTGATATCATTGCAGTTCCTACTGGTATTGTATTTTGGATGTACAATGACCAAGATATTCCAGTTATTGCCATTTCTCTTACTGATACTGGCAGCTCCAATAACCAGCTTGATCAGATGCCTAGGGTGAGCACTTAGCATAATGATAATATATTGTCCAAAAAGGTAACATAAATTGGCAATTGATTGATTTTGACTGAAAATATAATTGACAGAGATTCTATCTTGCTGGGAATCAAGAGCAAGAGTTTCTACGATACCAACATCAACAAGGAGTAAAGGAAGAACAAGACAATGACGGGAACCAAGAGCAAGAGTTTCTACGATACCAACATCGACAAGGAGTAAAGGAAGAACAAGACAATGACGGGAACAACATTTTCAGCGGCTTCAACAGGGATTTCTTGGAAGATGCTTTCAACGTGAACAGGCATATAGTAGACAGACTTCAAGGCAGGAACGAAGAGAGGGGAGCCATTGTCAAAGTGAAAGGTGGTCTCAGCATCATAACCCCTCCGGAGAGGCAAGCGCGCCACCCGAGAGGCAGCAGACAAGAAGAAGATGAAGATGAAGATGAAGATGAAAAGGAAGAGAGACAACCAAGCCATCATAAAAGCAGAAGAGGTGAAGATGAAGACGACAAAGGTGAAAGCAGAAGGCATGGAGACAATGGGCTTGAGGAAACCGTTTGCACTGCCAAACTTCGGCTGAACATTGGTTCATCTTCATCGCCAGACATCTACAACCCTCAAGCTGGTAGAATCAAAACTGTTACCAGCCTTGACCTCCCAGTTCTCAGGTGGCTCAAACTAAGTGCTGAGCATGGATCTCTCCGCAAAGTACTATTTTTTCTCTTTCTTTCTTTTTTTTATCTTTTATTACTTTTAATTTGTTTTGCATCACTTAATTTTATGTCAAACAATCTTCATACAGAATGCTATGTTTGTGCCTCACTACAACCTCAACGCAAACAGCGTATTATACGCATTGAAGGGACGTGCAAGGCTACAAGTTGTGAACTGCAATGGCAACACTGTGTTTGATGGAGAGCTAGAAGCCGGTCGTGCATTGACAGTGCCACAAAACTATGTTGTGGCTGCAAAATCATTGAGCGACAGGTTCACATATGTAGCATTCAAGACAAATGACAGAGCTGGTATTGCAAGACTAGCAGGGACATCATCAGTTATAAATGATCTGCCTTTGGATGTAGTCGCAGCTACATTCAACCTGGAGAGGAATGAGGCAAGGCAGCTCAAGTTCAACAATCCTTCCAGATTTCTAGTTCCACCACGCGAGTCTGAGAAGATTTCTAGTTCCACCACGCGAGTATGAGAAGAGAGCTTCCGCTTAGATTTGTCATCAAATCGATGAAAATATTAATAATGAATAAGAAAGGTAAGGCTTAAATGGCTTTGTTGTTGCATGTGTAAAATAACAAGTAAAGTTTCAATGCTCTATGTAAAATTTAATATTGAATGTTGTTCTATGGTTGTTTAGATAAATAACATTGAACCGTAATCGAAACTTAGCCATAATCTCGATCTTTTCTTAATAAAATGAAATAAAAATTATTGGAATGAAAAATCTTTTTACCAATGTTTATGTTAAACACCTCACAATTAATATTCATGTTGTAATTTAAGGGCTTACTTGTTTTGACTTTTTTAAAAATAAAAAAAATTTACAAAAAGAAATTTTTCATAAAAATTTTAAATGAAAAATTTTAAATATAAATTTGATTTAAATAGTTATTTTTAAAATGTTATTTTAGGTATTTCTTCTTTTTATTAAATTTTTTTAATATCAAAATTTTCATAAAAATTATTTTTGAATTATAACTTTTTAGAAAAAAATGTTATAGAACGTCAAAATTAATGTTTCAATTTAAAAAAAAAACAAATATAAAAAAAATTATAATATTTTGAAAAATAATTTTCTAAGATCTATTTTTAAAAATACAAAAAAAAAACTATTTTTTTAAGTTAAAACAAACTGACCTTAAAACGGGAAGGTCTTCTATCTTAAAATTTAAAGACTAATTCTTTTTTGAAAATTTAAATTTAATCTAAGAGTTACTTATTACAAATTACAAAAATAACTCTTACACTTATAATACAAACCATCTTTGGAGATTGAAATAACTCTCAAAAGCTAAACTATGGAGATTGAATTTGGACGCGTCTAATATATCACATCCTGACTGTAATCGGGATTGTGTCTAAAATTCAAATTTAATTTGGAGATTGGAAACCAAACAATTATTTTTATGTAAATTCACGTCTTTTTCTCTCCCTTCACATTTTCATTTATGCAAAAAAGCAAAACATGAATACGAAAAGAGGATCCTCATCTGTCATTACACAACTTGTTCGCTTTGTTTTCAAGCATTCTCATTTCTTTTATTCATTGCATAAAAGTTTATTTACTCCACTGAATTGTAGTTATTTGAAACTCTTCTCCATTGCATTGGTAAGTTGCTCATTCTCTTTTCTTTTTTGATTTCACATACATGCATTATCTAAATAGAATATATATATATATATATATATATATATACTTTAACCTTAAATGCAATAGAAATTTCATTTGTGTTTGTCTTGAACTGTATTGCATTAAGGTTTTGAGCATCAAAGCTTAGGGTTTGCAAGTTCTATTCTCTATGGTTTGTGTCTTTGGTTTGCATGCAGTCTGAATTGTACAATTCAGAACCTTAGTCCGAAGATTGGAATCTAGATTATCATGCTATCTATTTTCATGTTATGACATCTCTCTGTTGTGGTTTTTGATCATAGAAAAAATGTCTGACAACCAGGAAAGATTGAGACATAATAGAGTGTTCCAAAATGCTTTGGTTTGTAGGGGGAAGCTATACCCTTACGACTTGTTGTTGGAGAGACTTTTTTGGTGCTGAGGGATCGTCTTCAAGGATTCACGTGTATTCGACATCGTCTTCTCATATTCATGTGTTTATTGTTTCCCTAGAAGGTGTTGCTGCCTCAGATGCCCTGAGGGTTTCCCAAGAGGCCACTCAGAACTTCATTGTTTCTTTTTTATCCAAATCATGCGGCTAGGCACATGTGGGACAGAGAGATAGTATAAATCTTTTAATTACTCTTTTAAGAATTTGTGTTATAATATTATAACTTTATGACGATATATTTATTTTTTGTAGTATTGTGATATCTTAAAGTGTGTCAGCCATGATAAGAAGGTGGTGCAGTCTCATAAAACATGATTTCAAGATGTCATTCCGCTATCTGGGTTGTCGGGTTTATGCATGGTTGACTATGGTTATATTAACTATGACTTATTGTCTGCTTTTGTGGAGAGATGTCACATAGAAATGTCACCCTTTCATCTTTTGATAGGTGAGATGCCTATTATACTTGATGATGTCTCATGCCTCTTTCATCTTCCGATTCATGGAAAATTATTAAATTACTCCTAGATCAACATATTTGAGGCACTAGACATGATGATAACTTACTTAGGTTTTTTTTTTGCATTTAAGGAACCCGGAGAATATGTGGAACTTAAGGATTACCTTGAATTGGATTAAAACTTGTGTTGTTGCTCCACTTGAAACTAGGATGATCCTTCCAACCTGGACTGTAAGTGTTAGAATAGGGATTTCCTTTTTGAAAGTTATTTGCATAATGTGCTTCTTCTGTGAATCCTTCTAGTATGCAGTTTACATTAGCATGCTTCTCTAAGTGCCGGAAGAGGAGACATTTGGAGAGATGAAAATCACCTCAACTTTGCTGCCTAGACCTTGGTGTCCTCATGGAGTAAACACAATCTTGGGGGACGACACTTAGGCTTTGTGTGCGTATCACTAGATTCGGGGACACCACATTGAGGACTGCCATAAGCTGAAAAGGGAAATTGAGAAACAGATTCAAAGGGGAAAGTTATTGTCTTATGTCAAAGGTAATGCCGAGCGGGATGGAAAATGAAGCCCTCCTAGGAGGGATGATAACTCTGAATTCCATTCCAAGAAGAAAGGAAAGACAACGATGAAGTACGAGAAGCGCGACTGACCCGACACATGTTCAATACCATCTCTGGAGGATTTGCTGCAGGAGGCTCCACCAGCTCGACACGAAAGAGGTATGCCCGGAATGTAATGCATGTGGCTCAGGTGGAATGGACAAACAAAAGCGGAGATCCCGGGGCTGTCACTTTCTCCCGGGAGGACGTAGAAGGAGTCCTGCCACACAAAACGACCCCAATGGTCATTAAAGTTCAGATCATGGATTGGAGTGTTAAGCGGGTGCTAGTCGATCCCGGAATCTCAGTCGACGTGATGTATAGGGAAGCCTTCAAAGGAATGGACTTTGACTCAAAAGAGTTTCTACCATTCAATGAGACCTTAGTCGGGTTTTCTAGAGAGCAGGTGCATGTACTCGGGCACCTTTTGGTTCTATCTGTATTTAGAACGAAGGAGAACGTCAAAGCAATTAGAGTATGGTACTTGATTGTCAATGCAACGTCTCCCTACAACATCATAATTGGGACACCATCATTCAATGCACTGGAGGCGGCACTGTCAATCCTATACCTCACTATGAAGTACCCTATCAACGAGGGACGGGTAGGAATGGTACATGGAGACCATGGTCTGGCACGTAAATGTTATAAGGACGGTCTGAAAGTGAAAAGGAAGACTACGATTGTAGAAGAAGTAGACACCCACAAAATCAATTTAGTCGATATTGATCCTCGAGGAGATCCCAAAGAGGACAACCCAACTCCTCGAGACAAAACTAAAGAGGTCCAGATTGGTCCTCAATCCTCAGAGATTACTCACCTGGGAACCAATCTATCACCGTGTTTACCTTGGGTTTTGGTAAACAACCGCTGATCCTCCAAATGGTTACTTATTTGGTTACTCGCAGGATCGATCAGATTGATCCTATGGACATAGGTTGATTTTGAAGTTTGATTAGGTGGATAAGGCTTTAAGTAAAATGTTTCAAGTAAATTGCATAAAGGAAAGGCTTGGTAAAATAAACAAGGCTTTTTAAAGTAAAGGTTCGACAGGAATTTAAAGGAGAAAAGCAAGTAAAATACTGGAAAAGTAAATGACTTTAATTGATAAAATTGGTGTTTCACACATACATTTCTCAACAATTCTTTCGCTCACACTGGGTACTTGAATCTAAATGAGTGACTATGTATCTATTTGTGAACACACGCGAGAAACTACATGTCTACTCCTATTTATACTAAAACATTTCAAGTAACCGTCGGGCAGTTACACTGCTTCGAGATTAAGCCACTTGGCACGTTCTCCATGCTCGACGCTCCAGATCCTTGCACGTTTGCACGTAGTAACTGCTGGAAACCGTTTTCCCCCCAAAGCTTTGAATTTCAAACTGCTCCACTCTGGACCATCGAACACTTTCATCAAGAAACGTCTTCGACGAAAACTCCTTCGACGTCGAAGGTAATCAGCCTTCTTCCTTGGAAGAAATCTAAGTATTTTGCCATCTTTCGACGGGCACTTCGACAGGCTTAGCCAGTCGAAAGCATCTTTCAGCTTTTAATGGCTGCCATCAATCAAAACAAAGGTGTCAAATTTAGGAGCCAACAAATTGCCCCCCAAGAATGCCTTATTTCGACTCTGAAAGAAAAAGGCATTCTTTGAAAACGCCATTCGACACCTGTTTTTCCACGCTTAGTCACAAGTTAACTTGTGCACTTTTTGTTGCTTTTTACCAACTATCGGCAATCCCAAGAAACCATCATTGATTTGATCCTAGGACGTCACTTTCAGTACGGCGTGCAGTACCAAACGTCACTTCAAAATTTGTCATTATGACAAATCCCAAAAACGAGGACGCACGCTGCGTCTCTCTGTTTCTGCAGAAACGACCAAAACAACAGGATACTGCCACGCGTCCCACTAATTCCTGCAGCATTAAATGACATTTAATGTCCTCGTTATTGGGAATTTCTCCCACTACTATAAATAGTAGTGAATATCCCATTGTGGGACTTTTTACGCAAACTAGCCCTCAAACTCCCTTGCTTTCGTACAAACTTGCTCTCTTTGCAGAAAAACTCTTCCTTTTTTACTTCATCTTCATCCTCAACAATGGCCTCTGCTTCTACTGCCCCCAAGACTAACGCACCAACTGAACAACTTGTTAAACCCAAGGTCTTTGTTACTGCTCCGGTAGTGAACTCTACAGGGAAACGAAGGGTTCCTGAACCTTCTGACATCTCCGTTCGCGATGCTTACTCGCGTCACTTGATGATCCCGGTTGGATACTCCAACCAGATCTTCGCAATGTCTGGCCCCATGAACCCAAGCATCTCTGAAGCTC